GAAAATTGACACCGTCTTGTGAATCTTCCTGTTAATGAGATTCTGATATTGATCATGATATTACAGATGGCTTGATGGGAATTCACTTACAGCTCAACTACCGGAATTTCCTAGCCCCGAAACCTACAGATACTGCTAAACTACTTATTGCAGCATAAACAGGCAACAGAAATAGCTAACCGAAACGAATGTGGAAGCATATATTATATATGCATAAAAAGATCTAGTAAGATAGAGTTCCTTACAGTGCAACAATCTTTGGTTGTGGATTCCAATTGCAATCCACCTAGCAGAACGATACCTACTCCTAATGGTGGCATTGAAGCTGATATAGCTGGGAAAAAGTTGAGAACTGAGTTCTTGTTTCATCAGGAATCGACGATATCTTGGCCGTTTTTCCATTAAACAAGATGATCATCTAAGCTCAATTTCATCAGTGTTCTTAACAATTTAAGCTCATAAAACCTATCCTGATTCAATTTCGTTATTAGATTCATCTCAAATTCCACAAAGGCTCAATCTTGCTATAGCACCTCAAATTCCACAAAGCCTCATCTTATTTTGCTATAGCAATCTAACTGAAACCATCTGAAGCACTTACTCTATCTCTATGAGCATCTTATTCACATGAACATAAATCGACTCTATCAAGACAAAAGCTTAACTCCATAAACTTTTTTTTGTTAAAATAAACGGACAAAATTTGTCACTGCTTTCATCTAGAGGTCCTTCTATTTAGAGACAAAGCACTTGTTACATATATAAACTAGAACCCATAAATGAAGAGCTTGAGCTGATGAGAAGACTAACTGAAGCAATGAGTGGAATCTTGAAGACACAACAAAAGCTTGTGATTGATTCCCAAAAATGATTTTAGAACAGAAATTAAAGTAAACAAGAAAATCTCAAACTTTTTTCCAGCTTCTGTATTCGAGAGAGAAGATTTGAGATACTTATCAAAAGGATTTTGGAAGAGTTAGATCAAACAGAACAATGAAAAAGGAATGTTTTTTTTTTGTGATCAAAAATCAAAATTTTGGGTTGTGACCC